ACACTGCAATTTTGACGATGTTCAGAAATTAGAGAGCGTTGTAGTCTGTATGTCAATAAAGGGCAAAGTATCCAAGCCTATGCAATTGTGTGTTAAAGGCAAGTTCACTCAGAGCAGGAACAGGAAACCTGATGTGAGGGCCAAGTCAGCTTTAGAGTTGGTACATACAGATTTGGCAGGGCCCATTGATCCTAAGTCCAGAGAAGGCTATAGGTATGCTCTGTCCTTTATTGATGACTACTCAAGTGCAGTGTTTGTGTACTTTCTGAAAAACAAAAGTGACACAGTGGAAGCCACAGAGCGGTTCTTAGCTGACACAGCCCCATATGGTAAAGTAACATGCATCAGATCTGACAATGGTACTGAGTTTACTGGGCAGGGTTATCATGTACTACTTTGTAAGAACAGAATCAGACATGAGACATCAGCACCATACTCACCACACCAGAATGGTACTGCTGAGCGGTACTGGAGAACTCTTTTTGACATGGCTAGGTGTATGCTCTTGGAAAGCCAGTAAGCAAATGAGCTATGGCCATATGCAGTCCAGAAAGCAGCAGTGGTGAGAAATAGATGTTTCAATAACCATACCAGACAGACACCTTACTTTCTGCTGACAGGAAGGAGACCCAATTTGTCCAGGATGTAGGAGTTTGGTACTGTATGCTATGCCTATAGGCAGGACAGGAAAAAGCTAGACCTAGCTAGTCTGACAAAGGTATTTTTGTTGGCTATGACAAAAACAGTCCAGCCTATATGGTCTTTTATCCTGACAGTAGAAAGGTGATGAAGCACAAACTGGTGAGGTTCATCTCAAATGATGGACAGGAGACTGTTGACACGTCTGATGATGATGAAGTTTGTGTAGAGTATAGTACAACCAGACATGACCCTGATGAACATGAGCAATTCGACATCCCAGAGATTAGGCAAGACCTAGATCAGATAAGCCTGCAGCCGGCTGAGGTCAAGCCAGAATCAGTTTCCCCACAGAGATACACTAGAAGAGAGAGAAGGAGGCCAGACTTCTATAGGGTGGAGAGGGATCAGGTTCAGATCAACATTGATTACTGCTACAAGATGGTTTCCAATATATCTCAAACTTTCAGAGAAGCCATAGCTTAATCAACATTGATTACTGCTACAAGATGGTTTCCAATATATCTCAAACTTTCAGAGAAGCCATAGCTTCATCCAACTCAAGAGAGTGGGTAGATGCAATGGATGAGGAGATTAAATCATTGAGGGATAACCACGCATTTACTCTGACCACCCTACCTGAGGGAAAGAAAGCAGTGGGGGGCAGATTGGGGTATTCTATCAAAAACAATGCTGATGGATCTGACAAGTACAAAGCCCGCTATGTCGCCAAGGGGTAGAGTCAGAAGAAAGGTATAGATTATGGAGAAACCTTTTCTCCTACTGCTAACTCCAGTCATGTTTGTTCTCTCCAGACACAAGCAAGTTTAGGCCAGTATCTATTTGGGCTCTGCTTAACAGTCTGAGAAGACTGGATTATGTGGAAATATCGTTATTTCCTCACACTCTATGCCATGAGTCAGCACAAGGTCTAATGTATGATGGCAGGAGTGGGTGGAGCTATGTGTTCTTTGGGTAAAACCAATTGAGTCTAAGATATTACTAAAAGCCAGGTGTGAAGCAGCTGGGATGAGAATCAGCTCCTCTAAATCTGAGACCATGGCCTTGATTCTGAAAAGGGTAGAATGCCTTCTCCGGGTCAGGGATGAGGTCCTGCCCCAAGTGGAGGAGTTTAAGTATCTCGGGGTCTTGTTCAGGAGTGAGGGAAAACTGGAGCGTGAGATCGATAGGTGGATTGGTGCTGCATCTGCAGTGATGCGGGCATTGTACCGGTCTGTTGTGGTGAAGAGAGAGCTGAGTCAGAAGGCGAAGCTCTCGATTTACCGGTCGATCTAAGTTCCTACCCTCACCTATGATCATGAGCTTTGAGTAGTGACAGAAAGAATGAGATTGCGGAGACAAGCGGCCGAAATGAGTTTTCTCCGAAGAGTGGCTAGGCTATCCCTTAGAGATAGGGTGAGAAGCTCAGTCATTCGGGAGGGGCTCAGAGTAGACTCGCTGCTCCTCCACATCGAGAGGAGCCAGTTGAGGTGGCTCGGGCATCTGGTCAGGATGCCTCCTGGATGCCTCCCTGGTGAGGTTTTCCGGGCATGTCCAACTGGGAGGAGACCTAAAGGTAGACCCAGGACACGGTTGAGGGACTATGTCTCTCACTTGGCATGGGAACGCCTTGGGAATCCCCAGGAGGAGCTGGCCCAAGTGGCTGGGGAGAGAGAAGTCTGGGCCTCTCGCCTTAGGCTACTGCCCTTGCGACCTGAGTCCTGATGAGCGGATGAAAATGGATGGATGGATATTACTGAAGGCTACATTGAGGCTATCATTTTCACTGTCCACATGAATGTTAAAATCCCCCACTACAATGACCTTATCAGTATTTAGCACCAAATCAGATAAAAAATCAGAGGTCTGATCTAAAAACTCAGAGTAAGGGCCTGGTGGACGATATAAAACCACAAACAAGAGTGGTTTTACAGTTTTGCAATCTGGATTAGGAAAACTAAGAATAAGATGTTCAAAAGAACTGTAACAATTAATTGGTAAGGGATTGGTTAATAGGTCTGAATGAAAATTGGTTGCTACTCCTCCTCCTCGACCTGTACTTCCAGCAATCTGGTGATTTAAATAATTAGAAGGAGTCGACTCATTTAAAGTAACAGACCTCTTGCTGCAGCCACGATTCTGCGAGAGAGAGCAAAGAAATCTGATTATCACGTTACACAAATGAAGTCATTAACTAACAAAGTCTTAGAAAAAAATTGACCTAATGTTCAATAACCCACATTTAATTTTTCTAGTTTTCTGCTCAGTTGAATTTGTTCTAAAATTTATGAGATTTCCATGATTTGCTTTATCAAGCCTGATATTTAATCTGTGCGGTTTTGGCTGTGGGCAGGACACTGTCTCAATGGGGTAGTGGGTGGGTAACAGTACAGAAGCTGCAGAGGGTGTTTTAAACTATGACTGTTTTAAACTATGACTCTGCTTCCTGGTCTGAACCCTGGATTGTCATGGAGGACTAATAAAATTGGCCATGTTCCTGGAAAGAAGAGCTGCTCCATCCAAAGAGGGATGGATGCCGTCTCTCCGCATCAGACCAGGTTTTCCCCAAAAAGTTTTCCAATTATCAATGTAGCCCATGTTTTTTTCAGGACACCAGAAAACTAGCGGTTGAAGGACAGCATGCGGCTAAACATGCCGTCACTGGTCCGATCAGGCAGGGGGCCAGAGAAAATTACGGAGTCCAACTTTGTTTTGGCAACCTTACACACCGAAGCAACATTAATTTTAGTGACCTCCGATTGGCATAACCGGGTGTCGTTATCGCCAGCGTGAATAACATTCTTACTGTAATTCACTACTGTAGGTTCACTCTGCAGTTCATTGAAATGTATCTCATAACTCTTCATAACATTCTGGATTTTCTCTACAATACCATCATGAAGACAGCTCATATTTGCGTCATTCTCCAAAATTTGGCCTGTCAGCTGTCTGACCCTAACACTGATAATTACATTGTATAAAAGAGGAACTAGACCGTTTTGGCTTGCTTTTTGCACCCCCTAGTGTCCGTTTGCAGAACAGAAATCCAAACCTTTCTCATTGCTGTGCGTTCGTCTTTTCAACACCTTCATCTAAGAGCTGTTACGTGCTGTGCCCCTTTTCGGCCACAAGATGGCCTCAGTGGCTTATGCCTTGCTTGACTCCCGGTGCCCAGCTGTTTACACTCAGTGATGAACACTTGGCAGCTGTTAAAAGCTGCTCCCAGCCTCCAGTTCAGTGAGAAGGTCCAAGGGTAGTATAGACTCGGCAGAGTTTGTACTATTCTCTTCTCCTCGTTCGCTGTTGGTACAACTTGTTTGCTTGGTAGACTTTGGTATTTTGACTCGTTTTGGTATTTGGATTTAGGATTAGATTGTTTGGCTATTTGACTTCGGACCGGCTTTAGACTTAGACTTTGGATCACCTTCGCTTTTCTTAGTCTCAGTGTTTATTCCCATCCGCTTTTGGGTTGGTGTTTTCTGTTCTCACACCAATTTTATTACTCCCCTTCTCATCTCTCCTAGAGAGCCGGGGACGTAATAGAACTGAAAGGTCTCCCAGCCTTCATTAATGTATAAAGGAGTGATTCATCACTAAATTAAACAAATCAGCTGTGTTCATGATTTTTATTTATCAGAAATAAAAAAGAAACATGCAGGAAACGGACTGGAGCCAGACTGCAGCAGCTCAAGTGCCAACAGAGTGGCCCTCCAGTCTGAAGTTGCAGGTGGAATATTCTGGCCACAGGAGGCGACAGGGGCTGGGTGGCCTTTCATTAACCCTGTAAAGGATCATTTTAGCACATACTGGCTCAAGAAATGTATTTTTTAATTGTAACTCATGGATTTCTATACTGTGCAGAAGTCCGATAACTTGTTTGACCAAATTACTCCATTATTTCTTAACATAAGATGATCTTCAAACCTGTCATAAAAGTGAGAACAATAATATTAGTTTAATTTCTTTATATTTTGCTTTCAAGAAGCCAATCTTATCCTCTAAAAAATGAAATGCTGAATTTACTTTCCAAATTATGCCAACTGCTTCCACTAAACGTTGTTGCTTAAATGCAAAGGGTAAATACACAGCTACACCTTGTTATGGTCAAAAAGTAAATGAAACTTACTTTTTACTATGGATCAACCATTGTGGAACCAGCTGACATATTTTGGTTAAGCAAAATCAACTTGTCATTGATAAAATGTATTTTAACCCTTTATGTGGTTTTCATCATTCTAAAAGTTTATTTTAATGTTTTTCTAAGATTTTGTTTTTTTCTGTTCTGTTCTGCTATTTTTAAAGAATGCTAAAATAAAACAATTTAAAAATTTCAAGATGTTTGCCCAAATATTTAAACGCAGTTTTCAGCCTCAGTGCTTTTTTATTTATCAGAAATAAAAAAGAAAGCTAAAAATTTTAACGAAATTGTAAAAATCTGATGTTTCACAGTGTTGATAACAGCCATTAAATACAAACCAACACTCAGAACAGCAACACGATAACACAGTCCAACAGTTTTAAGGTTTCTGTGGCACTTCTCTACTTGGCTTCTTAAACAGGGAGACATAGTATTTCTCAGGAAAACACACGATAACTACTTTATATTACACATTTACACAGCACTGTCGATGTCGAGAACATTCAAACGTAGAAAACAGTGTCAAAAAGCTAAGTTTTTAGTGCCAAATTAAAAACAAAAAAAATTGGCTTCATTTCCACAGACTTTTAATTTTTGTCTTCAGTGAGATGAAAAAAGTGCAAATATGAACATGAGAAAGAAATAAATGCTTAAATGTTCCACACTGAACGGCTGATGATGGATCAAAAGTGGATCCTTTCAGTAAATGTGAGGAAAAACACATGAATTCTGACTTTAACATAAGATGATCTTCAAACCTGTCATGAAAGTGTCATGAAGGTTTTCCCACATGTTTAAGACATTTTTACACAGCAGCTGACTTAAAAAAATCTGATCAATCAAAAACAAAATGGCTTCTTTGTGTCACAACATAATAAACAAACGGTGAAATAAAGTACGGCTTTGTAGTTGTGTTCTCTCTTAAAAAAATGTCAGTTTTAAATTATTTAGTGTGTTCAAATCTGAATTAGAAGAATTTATGATAAGCTGCCAAACACAGCGACAAAAACACAAAACAAGGAGACAAACCGGAGGGGAAAACCTTTGGTTAAATTTGTGCTGAGGTAGATTCTGAGGTGCAAATCATAACAACGCTAAAAAAAACCTAAAAATTATCATCAGCAACACAGAAAACATTCCGTTTGTTTTCCTTACAACAATAAATACAAATTTAAGATCTCAACGTAAAGTGTTTCTATGTGGGAGCACGTTAAATTGTTGTGTTATGATGACTTTGTCTGAAAAAGTAATTTTTATTTCGTATTGGCTTTGCCCTTTAAGGTGTTATATTCTCTGAATTAACCAGTCACCGAATAACTTTTAGTATACTTGCATTGCTTGGTTCTTTTAAAACACAGAAAAAAGAGTTTTCTTTACCTTGTTGGTTTTTTTAAAGAACCAATCAATGCAAGTTGACAAAATACACAGAATGAACACAAAAGATGCTACTGGGCAGGCCCCAGTCCGGTATAAAAGGTTTACAAGACCAATAAACTGTTCCCATTTTCTCTTCAAGCAACCACTTCACTAAAAGTTCAACAGTGACATCCACCTTTCGTGTTTGCTCATTAACATAAATGCTAAAATTTGAATGAATTAACCAACCGGAATTCTTGTACCTCGGCTCTTCCCACGAATCAGCACTGGAGGCATCAATGGTGCAGAATGGGAAACGGGATGGCTTACTCAGGTTCTTCACAGTGCATCAATCCACACCGGGGAAAAGTTTACTCCACCAGAAGAATCTCATCCTCCATGTTGTTACACAGTGGAATGTCAACCCTAACATTCCCTAACCCTAACCCATGGCTGCATCCTGGTCCTCGCCATGCTTGTTTCTCCACTTTTATTCGCAGGACATTTCTGAAGCCTCCAACTACCTCTCCATCCTTGGATTTCTGATGGGCTGATTTACAGCGGCGCTGCATGGCGACAGGGCTTTTCTCTCCCACTGCGAGTGCTTTTGCATGTGTTCTTGGGCTCCCATTACCGTATTAGGACACTTATGTCCCTGATGGGCTATTACATGGGGGACTCGAGGCCTATTGTGTAGTAGTAACTCAGGAGGTATACCGTTGTCCAGTAATCGGAGGATTGGTTATGTTTGACCTAATAGCCCTGGAAGCAGTTTGCTGGTCCTGTACTCCTCCTTCTATACCAGAGCTGGGCTTGGTTGGTAGGTGGGCATACATTAAAAGTTTGGCCTTAAAGGGCTATGCCTATACTCGTAGAATCTTGGGTTACAATATGTAACCATTGTTTTCTTCTATGCATTATATGATTTTTTTTATTCAGATTTTTCTTTTTTATTATTATTTACCAAAATATTTGATGTTTATCTTCTATTTGATTGTTGTGTTTACCAAAAATTGTTGCTGGTGTCCCATTTTGGATATTATGATTTTAGTTGTGACTTTATTGTTTTTCCAGATCTGTCAATTTTTGGGATATTAAGCACCTCAGTAGCTACCATAAAGCTGGGAAGCAGTTGTGTAATTACTTGCTTGTGTGTAAGTGTCTTTGAAAAAAAAAATTAAAAAAACTTCACAAAAAAATCAAGCTAGCTGATTTTTGAAATACATCATCACATGTTTCCTTTTGATTTAAATAAAGAAAAATGAGAATCAAAGTGCATGTCTTACGGCGACCAAACTGGATTTTCTCAGAGGCACTCCTGTAAAAGGTGCTTTATCCAGTGATATATGTTTATTTGAAATAAATATAATAATAAATATAAGTGAAATGTTACTTTGTGTGATGGAGTTCGTGAGGGGGCTGCTTCACTTGTGGACACAAGTCTAAATTAAAGGAGCAATATGTAAGAATTTTATTATCAAATTCTCATAAAACAGTCTAATCTCTCAATCATGCTGGAAGGAAGGTTATACTGAAACAAATTTCCTTCTCAGCTGGCAGGGGGGGGGGGTGTCAGGTTTTCTACGTTCAAAAAGCTCAAGAGTACGGTGGCCCTGAAGTGCAAACCACAAAAACAAATCACTTAATGCAACAACAAATTGAAACACGCAACAACTAATCACTTCATGCAAAAACAAATGACAAAATGCACAACAAATTGAAAAGCGCAAAAACAAATTCACTAAATGCAACAAAAAATCACTAAGCGCAAAAACAAACCACTAAACGCGCAACAAATTGAAAAGCGCAACAACAAATTCACTAAACACAAAAACAAATCACAAAACGCGCAACAAATTGAAAAGCGCAACAACAAATTCACTAAACACAAAAACAAATCTCAAAACGCGCAACAAATTGAAAAGCGCAACAACAAATTCACTAAACACAAAAACAAATCACTAAACGCGCAACAAATTGAAAAGCACAACAACAAATTCACTAAACACAAAAACAAATCACTTAAAGCACAACTATTTGAAAAGCGCAAAAACAAATTCACTAAATGCAACAAAAAATCACTAAGCGCAAAAACAAATCACTAAACGCGCAAAAAATTGAAAAGTGCAACAACAAATTCACTAAACACAAAAACAAATCACAAAACGCACAACAAATTGAAAAGCGCAACAACAAATTCACTAAACACAAAATCAAATCTCAAAACGCGCAACAAATTGAAAAGCGCAACAACAAATTCACTAAACACAAAAACTAATCACAAAACGCGCAACAAATTGAAAAGCACAACAACTATTTCACTAAACACAAAAACAAATCACAAAACGCGCAACAAATTGAAAAGCGCAAAAACAAAAAACAAACCGGAAGAGGTAGGTACCAATGCTGCAACAACAGGCATCACTGATTGGATGATGGATCCGTTAGCCTTTTGAACCGGAAGTTGTTCTGCGTAACGCATTTTTACAAACATGAACATTACCAGTGATCCACACGTTGCGAATCCACAGGAAGGAAGCTTGTAAGAGTGCATTTTGAAGTCGATGACATCACAGCGCAGCGACGAGTACTGTCCGAATTCCAAGAATACTCATTCTCGCGTCCTCGCTCCGGCTGTGGATTTTCAACAGGAAGAGAAAACGTGGAGAGCTACGAAGTTTTAAACGTAAGTTTGTTAAAAACTAGCCTTAGAAACCTAAAAAGCTTAAAGCGGTTCAGTTTATATACATTTTTCGTTGTATATTTGTTTTTAAAATTATATTTTAGGCAGAAATCTGTCAGAACGTGTTTGTTTCGCAGGTCCCAGTTATTCCTGTGTGTGTGTGTGTGTGTATATGTGTGTGTGTGTGGCGAATTAAACTTGTCATTTGTTTTAAGGACAACGGAGCAAAGAAGCGTTTTTATTAAGCTTAAAGTTGAAGAGTGAAGCTGTTTACACACACAGCCACAGAAGTTCTTCTGTGAAAAGTAGTTTTTCATTCAGGGATTTACACAGCTGACATGTTTTAATGAAGTAAAAAGTGTTCGTGTGAAGAATATACATTTTATCTTCTCATGTGGATAAATGTAAAAATGTGTTTATTGCCTTTTTGTCACCTGTGGTCTCTGATTTTCTCTGTTAGGGCTGCAGGTGTCCAGGGTCAGGAGAGGCTTAACCTGTTGGTCATCTTGGGAGAGAGGCCTTCTACTGTCATCATGATAATGTTATTTAGCTGTTTGATATTTGAACACATTTATTAAAACAAATACTAACTGATAACTCTTTCTGGTCATTGATTTTATCACCAGTTTTATTATTACAGACGTTTTTGAACATGTTACATGAACAGAAAATGAAAAGATGGTAAGGAGACAAGATTATTTATAATACGTTACACTTATTTACAGATCAAAACCAGTATGGACCAGTTATGTACGGTTAAAGCAGGATTAACTTGAGTGACTCTTCCTGGATCATTTATTTAAACTGAGTGAGCAGGAAGTCTTAAACAGTGCACCTGGATCTGCTGCAGGAGGATCCAGACGTGGATGGAGGGCTGGAGCAGACCCGTGGCTGGACATTTCTGGCCAGAGGAACATCATACAGGACGGTCTGCAGAGAGAGCTTTGGGACGCTTCCTCTCACTGTCCACTCCATCGTCCATCTACAGGGCCTGCTGGGCTGGCTCAGACGACGGCTGTTAAATTTCTGTGAATGACTTGCCTGTTAACAGCAGTGGTGGTCTGCTGGTACCTCCTCCAGGACAGAGCACCACTGACCTCCTCCACACACATCTTCCTCAGGCTCATCCTCCAGGCCCACAAATTCACCAGCACCGAGGCAGATGTGCAGCACAGTGCATGCTGACCTGTAATAGATTAAAAAAAGAGTTTTTTTATTGAAAAATGTAAAACAAAACATATAACCTGCAGTACAGTGGTTCTGTTCAGTTTAAAGAAAAGCAGCAGGGAAAACTACAGAGAATTTACATTTTTAAGACAGATCTAATCATTATTAGGCTTAAGTTGAATAAACAAATGCACATTGAAAACAGTTCTATGCTATTTTATTAAAAAGCCTGTTTTTTAAAATGTTTTACCCCATTTAATGCAAAATAAGTTTTAAGGTCCAATTTACATTAGAAAACATCCTACTGCATTCAACATGTATAATGCATTTGGTTTATATTAATTGCCTACATGATAATACTCTGTAGAAATGTGTTGTGTACGTTTAACAAGTTCATTCTGTAGCTTAAAACATACATGAAACCATCTAAAGTTAACATGTAAGTCCTGAAAGCTTCTAGAATAAACAAAGTTGCTTTACCTTAAAACGTTTGTGAAAAAACGCTGCTGATGGACGTGAAGCTGCTGTAGCTCCTTAATATTCCTGCTCGATTTTCGCTAGCGTTAGCATTTTTCCTTTGCGTGTAGCTGCCGCCGTGGCTGTGACGGGACCTACGGGTCACCGTAGAGGTGAAGGCTAGACTGTCCAAATTCAGTGCCGCTGGGTTCTGGTCTTAGCGGTCTGGCAAGGACCCGGCCTTGCTAGACCGGCGAGGACCCGTACTCGTAAGCATCCTGCCTGTGGATTTGGACACACCCGCTGACTGCTCTTTCACAAAACCACGTTCGGCAGAACAACTTCCGGTTCAAAAGGCCAACGGATCCATCATCCAATCAGTGATGCTTGTTGTTGCAGCATTGGTACCTACCTCTTCCGGTTTGTTTTTTGTTTTTGCACTTTTCAATTTGTTTTTGCGTTTTGTGATTTGTTTTTGTGTTTAGTGAATTTGTTGTTGTGCTTTTCATTTTGTTGCGCGTTTTGTGATTTGTTTTTGTGTTTAGTGAATTTGTTTTTGTGCTTTTCAATTTGTTGCGCGTTTTGTGATTTGTTTTTCTGTTTAGTGAATTTGTTGTTGCGCTTTTCAATTTGTTGTGCGTTTTGTGATTTGTTTTTGTGTTAAGTGGATTTGTTGTTGCGCTTTTCAATTTGTTGTGCGTTTAGTGATTTGTTTTTGCGCTTAGTGATTTTTTGTTGCATTTAGTGAATTTGTTTTTGCGCTTTTCAATTTGTTGTGCGTTTTGTGATTTGTTTTTGCATTAAGTGATTTGTTGTTGCGTGTTTCAATTTGTTGTTGCGTTAAGTGATTTGTTTTTGTGGTTTGCACTTCAAGGCCACCGTATTACAGGGATGTAGTTACTGTTCACATCTGTGAGCCTGTGAGGTTGCCAGCGCCCGTATTTGTATTTTGACTCCCGCAGGTAAAATCAGAACATAAGCCAATAAACAGGAGCAATCCAGAAGTTATCTCTTGTACCTCTAAGAAGCTGCAGCATCCTTTTCTTTTAATCTAATATTTGGTGAAGGAGGCTGGAAGCTAAAGTTCAGCTAACAATGCTAACAGTGAATTAAAAGCAAATTGTCTGCTCTAAAAATACCTCAAGCTACTTTTACATTTCTTTACTTTAAAAAGATCTTAATCCATTTTTTCAGTTTCCAACAACTCAATATTGCAGTAAAATATATGTGTGAGGTGAATAGTGAGTTAATTGTGGCATTTTGCTTCCTTTAATGAGTCAATCAGAAATAAAACAGCAAGCTAACAGCAAGACGGCAAACAACCACACTTCCTCTAATACTGGAGGCATATTACCGTAAAAAGTGTAGTAAATTCTCCTTATCGTAAAACACCCAGGAGTGCTAACACCTGATATGACAATATATTTTTCTACTTATCAATTTATTGTGTATGACTCTTCGCTTGTCATCTAGAATCTTCTGGATCTTATCTGTAACTGTCAACAGCCATGAAACTCATGTAATGAGAGAAAGTCAATTTTTTTTTTTATATAAATGGACTGCAGTAATCACATTTGACCACAGGATGTCATTCTTTCTTCATTCTCACATATTGCACCTTTAAATACCCATCCAAGAGGAGCTTTGTGAAATTAACAGTTATAACTTCTGATTTTATTACAAAGTAATCAAAATATTCCTCTAACAACTCAAAATTAAGCTACAGAAAAAGCAGCTTATGGAAGACTAAAGCTATTAATGTAAAACCATCAAGAGCCAAATTGCGACTAAAAGAAAATGTAAAAGTGGCAGCAAAAAGTTATAAAACAATCTGAAGGGTGGACAGCAGTTATATTATTTTTCTGGGGTGTGTTTCTCACTGACAGGATAAGGTCTGTGTTTCTGGATATGTTGATGTTCAGCTACATTTCGGGCTTCTGGTCTTTAGTTTGTCTGTTAGCTTCAGTCTAACTGACCGTTCTGGCAGCCTTTCAGAAACAGCTCATCCTGTGATAGGTGTCCATCAAAGCCATCCATGTAGAGGCTGCTGGTGCTGCTGCCGCTGCTGCTCAGGAAGGTGCCGACCGCCCGGCCCTGACGGGCGTGGCCCACGGCGTCGCTGAACACTTTGTTGATCTGCTCCTCTGAAGGCATCCACCAGTCTGGGTTTGAGGCACAGTGCATCCGGATAAACTCTAGAAGAGTTGGATCAATAAGTATTTCATAAAATCACAATATTTTGCAAAAAATTAAAGCATTCATTTAACTGAGGGTTTGAAAAATTGGAGTTTGGATCATATTTGATGATGATGTAATTCCTTGTTTTCTTGCTTTTTGTTTGTTTATTTGTTTGTTTGTCCTTCCACCAATCAGCAGTTTTAATAAGCATTATTGCGGGGGTGTCATTTTGGATATTTCACCATCAGGTTTACAAATATCACCTGGTGAGGGTATAAAAAAGGAGCCATAAAAGGTAAACAGCCCATATTTATATAGCACCATATCGAGTTTTACAACCCCTCAAGGCACTTTACAAAACAACAGATATTCACCAGTGCACATACATTACACATACACACTACTGGTTGGGATATAAGCTGCAATGTGTAACTGACAGTCACGTTGAGAGGACTGTTTGGACCCAAAATGCAGATACCCAGGATGACACGAGGCAGGAGTTGATATAAAGAAAATCCTTTTATTGTAGGATGAGTCCAAAAATAAAAATAAATCCAAAAGGCAGGGAGCCGAAATCCAAAAATCAGGAAATGATCAGGAGATCCAAAAACACCAGAGGAACGGGCAGACTGACAGAATAAATCACGCTGACAAACAATGAACCGACAAGACAATGAGAAACAGACAGGGCTTTATAGACTGGGGCATAATGGGAGGCAGATGAGCTGCAGGTGTGTGGGGAGAGAACCAGGTGAAGGCAATAACTAATCAGGGAGGAGGAGCAGGAAGGAGCAGGAGAGGACACCGGACCTGACTGGAGAAGAACACACACACACACACACACACACACACACACACACACACACACACACACACACACACGCGCGCGCGCGCACACACACACACACTTAGCTGGGGGATGACACACACACACCGAGCTGGGGACAAAGAGGCTGGAGCTACAACTGGAGGGGCTGGGGATGACCTGAAAGGCTACAAACAGACGGCACATAAATAAGACGCAGACAAAGGACACATGAGGGCGCTAAGAGACACACAAGGGGAATCTAAAGAGTGATGGAGGACATCAGGAGACACATGGGGAAAGACGCAGACACAGACCATGACAGGGCTTTCACATTCTCTAGGTGCCACTAGTTCCCTCAAACCACCACCAGAAGGAAAGGTGAGCTCTTAGCTCCTCTACAACATCGCCCAAATGATTCATTTTTAAATTAGCAAACTCTCTGACAAGGCGCTAAAGTTGACCAAATTGTGGTCACTTTTGACCGTTAGTGTCAACAGTTAACACAAAGAGAGTAGAATTAATGTAAAAATACAGAGAGATCCTGGAAGATTTGACACAGGAGGACAGATAATGACCCGAAGCATACATCTAAAGCTACAGAGAAATGGAGGATGTTCTTGAGTGGCCAAATCAAAGCCTAGACCTAAATCTGATAGAGAATTTGTGGCTGGACTTGAAAAGGGCTGTTTATATTCGATCCCCACGCAACCTGACAAAGCTTAGATCAGTTCTGCAACGAATAGGTGAGCAAGCCTGATAGAGGCCAATCCACACAGACTCAGAGTGGTGATTGCAGACAGAGATGCATCTGCCATATACTGACTTAGAGTAGGTGAAATAGATTATAAATTGTTTTATTTATTTGAAAATCAGTTTTTACTTGAATATTGATCAATTTGGTTGTTTTTGTATTTTCTGGTCAAGGGAGCCAAATTATGTTGATCATGGTTGACTAATCACCCAAAGATAACACAGGGAAATGTTCAACACAAAATTCAGCTTAGAATAAAATGAAATGTAACGCTGCAGCTCTGGTATTTTTATTTTGACACTGGCAGGTAAAGTCAGAACCAAAGCCAGTTAACTGGAGCAACCCAGAAGTTATCTCTTGTAACTCTAAAAAGCTGCAGCATCCTTTCTTTCATGGACGTAATTTTCACTTTAGAAGTGGGGGGGACACGTGTGTGTGTGTGTGTCTGTGTGTGTGTGTGTGTGTGTGTGTGTGTGTGTGTGTGTGTGTGTGTGTGTGTGTGTGTGTGTGTGTGTGTGTGTGTGTGTGTGTGTGTGTGTGTGTGTGTGCGGGGGGGGGGGGTCTTTACAGTATGTTCTAATGGGAAACAGGCTTCAACACAAATGGTTGTTTTCTGCTTGGTCCTAGAGCTCAACCAGTGCCAATTTAATATAAAGTATTGGTAAAAAGTGCAGGGGTGAAAACTTGACTTTGGAGAAAGTGGGGGGGACATGTCCCCCCTGTCCCCCCCCAAAATTACGTCCATGCTTTCTTTTTATCTAATATTTGGTGAAGAAGCTAAAGTTGAGCTAACAATGCTAACGTTGAATCAGAAGCAAACTGTCTGCTCTGGCTGATGCCTATCTCCAGCAGTCAATGGGCAATCAGGTGGGGTATACCCTGGACAGAGAGCCAGTCCATCGCAGGGCAACACAGAGACACACAGGACAAACAATTATAAACACACACACACTCACATACAGGCAATTTTAGACAGACCAATTAACCTATTACCCAGGGCAGCTGTGGCTACATCGTAGCTCATCCCCACCAGTGTGTGAATGTCTGTGTGGATGGGTGAATGACTGATTGTGTAGTAAAGCGCCTTGAGGGGTTCCATGACTCTAGAAGGCGCTATATTAAATACAGTCCATTTAACCTAACAGTCATGTTTTTGGACTGTGGGAGGAAGCCGGAATACCCGGAGAGAACGCACGCATGCACAGGGAGAACATGCAAACTCCATGCAGAAAGACCCGAGGCCGGGAAGCAAACCCAGGACCTTCTTGCTGCAAGGCAACAGCTCTAACCACTGCGCAGCCCACATCTAAATCTAAATGTTAAATCCAAATCTAAATCTGTGAGTCAAACATTTCTGTTATATGCAAATTAGCCATGTGTGACCATGCCCACAACAATGGTTGGCCAATTGTGCTCATTTTCACTCCACTTTCTTTCACGCTGGACACTGGCTGTACTGCTCTAGTCTTCATTGGGCATAGTAGCAAAGGTAATAGCCCATTTCGCTATCAGTTTTAAGACATTTGTTGAGTAAACTACTTGTTTTGATCGTGTTGTCCGTTATTTCTCTGCTAAGATCGTGTAATAGAACGTAATGACCAGTCACAACTGAAAAAGACAGACATGGCTGCCAGCTCGCTTCAGGCAGGAGAAAGTGAACATCCTGTCATGACAGGTGTCCAAGCAGCTCTTCAGAGCATGCTTCCCCCTGCATCACACCCCGCAGCAATGATGGAAGGTATTCTGGTTGTTTTCCACTTGGTTAGCCTATTTAAGTGGAAGTGTTCACACACTATAAAGTTGCCATGAACCTAGCTAAGTTAACTAGCTAACAACTGTGTTGCATGAGCCTGTTTAAAAATACAATAATGTTGTGTCTGATAAAAAGAAAGCAAAAAAAAAATTCATAAAAACATTAAATGAATGTTGAATAGAAACAGCAAACTATCATAAAAATGTGTTAAACCAGCTGAAAAACAATAAAAGTCTGTTTTTATTGTAAAGTGACCTGGATGTGCTGAAAAGTACTTTCAAAATTATCATCACTCTTATTATCACTGTTATTATTACATGAAGCCTAAATAAGCTAATAGGAAAATGTGGGCTAATGTTCCAGGTGTCCACTCCCCATGATCATCCACCGTTCATTTGGCATGAGCTGCTTCTTCCCAACTGCCACCTCACTGAGACCAGTAAGTTACAGTTATATTACACTTTGTATTTATTTTTATTTTCTGTACAATATAGAGCCTGTTGATTGTAGGGCAACTGTGATTATTTACTCAGTAACTTAATTATGCCATGCACAGGATAAACTTAGCTATAGCAAATGTCTAATAAATAAATACATATATTACAAGATGAATGTTAAAATAATGTGCCCTGGAAATTGTCCAAATTATTATCTCAGACCAATTAAAGTAAAATGAGTTATGAGAAATTGCATTAAGTTTTCTCTCCTGCATAACATGTTGATTTGATTGTAACCCTTCTGTATTGTAGCAGACTACAGGTCCTTCTCAAAAAATAGCATATTGTGATAAAGTTCATTATTTTCTGTAATGTACTGATAAACATTGGCCTTTCATATATATTAGATTCATTACACACAACTGAAGTAGCTCAAGCCTTTTATTGTTTCCAATATTGATGATTTTGGCATACAGCTCATGAAAACCCAAAATTCCTATCTCAAAAAATTAGCATATTTCATCCGACCAATAAAAGAAAAGTGTTTTAATACAAAAAAGTCAACCTTCAAATAATTATGTTCAATTATGCTCTCAATACTTGGTCGGGAATCCTTTTGCAGAAACGACTGCTTCAATGCGGCGTGTCATGGAGGCAATCAGCGTGTGGCACTGCTGAGGTGTTTTGGAGGCCCAGGATGCTTCGATAGCGGCCTTAAGCTCATCCAGAGTGTTGGGTCTTGCGTCTCTGAACTTTCTCTTCACAATATCCCACAGATTCTCTATGAGGTTCAGGTCAGGAGAGTTGGCAGGCCAATTGAGCACAGTAATACCATGGTCAGTAAACCATTTACCAGTGGTTTTGGCACTGTGAGCAGGTGCCAGGTCGTGCTGAAAAAGGAAATCTTCATCTCCATAAAGCTTTTCAGCAGAAGGAAGCATGAAGTGCTCCAAAATCTCCTGATAGCTAGCTGCATTGACCCTGCCCTTGATAAATCACAGTGGACCAACACCAGCAGCTGACATGGCACCCCAGACCATCACTGACTGTGGGTACTTGACACTGGACTTCAGGCATTTTGGCATTTCCCTCTGCCCAGTCTTCCTCCAGACTCTGGCACCTTGATTTCCGAGTGACATACAAAATTAGCTTTCATCTGAAAAAAGTACTTTGGACCACTGAGCAACAGTCCAGTGCTGCTTCTCTGTAGCCCAGGTCAGGCGCTTCTGCCACTGTTTCTGGTTCAAAAGGGGCTTGACCTGGGGAATGCGGCACCTGTAGCCCATTTCCTGCACACGCCTGTACACGGTGGCTCTGGATGTTTCTACTCCAGATTCAGTCCACTGCTTCCGCAGCTACCCCAATGTCTGGAATCGGTCCTTCTCCACAATCTTCCTTAACTCTACTTGTTGTGCAGTGTTTTCTGCCACACTTTTTCCTTCCTACAGACTTCCCACTGAGGTGTCTTGATACATCACTTTGGGAACAGCCTATTCGTTCAGAAATTTCTTTCTGTGTCTTACCCTCTTTCTTGAGGGTGTCAATGATGGCCTTTTGGACAGGTCGGCAGTCTTACCCATGATTGCGGTTTTGAGTAATGAACCAGGCTGGGAGTTTTTAAAAGCCTCAGGAATCTTTTGCAGGTGTTTAGAGTTAATTAGTTGATTCAGATGATTAAGTTAATAGCTCGTTTAGAGAACCTTTTCATGATATGCTAATTTTTTTAGATGGGAATTTTTGGGTTTCATGAGCTGTATGCCAAAATCATCAATATTAGATCAATATAGAATATTAGAGGTCGTGGAAGGTGCTTTATAAATAAATGAAATGAAGATAAAATGGATTGCTAACACAGTTCTTAAGTTCGAGTGTTAAGAGGCAGGCAGCTCACAACCAGCCCCCTGAAGCCGGCTCAGCTTTGCAAGAAAGTGGCGCAATTGTTTTTTGAAACAGGCTCATGCAACACAGTTGTTAGCTAGTTAGCTTAGCTAGGTTCATGGCAACTGTATAGTGTATGAACACTTCCACTTAACATTTACATTTAGATTTAACATTTACATTTAGATTTGATTCAACATTTAGATTTAACATTTAGATTTAGATCTAGCCTTAACATTTAGATTCAGATAAAAGTGTTAGATAAATATTTAACATTTACGTTTAGATTTGATATTTAGATTTAGGTTTGGATTTAATTTTTACATTTAGATTTAACATTTACACTTGGCATTTACATTTAGGTTTAGATTTATTATTTAGTTTTAAATTTAAGATATAGATTTAGATTTAACATTTACATTTAGCATTTCGATTTAGATTTAGCATTTGGATTTAGATTTTTTTTAACATATGCACTTAGCATTTATATATAGGTTTAGAATTAGCATTTAGATTTAGGTTTAACATTTATATTTAACATTCTGATCTAGATTTAATTTAACACTTAAGTTTAGATTTAACATTTAGATTAGCTGAAATTAAGTTTAAAATGTTCATTAAAACATTAAAATCTTCTTTAAAATGTTTAAATGTTCATTTTTAAAAATGTTAAAATGTTCATTAAAATGTTTAAATGTTCAGTGATATTTAAACATATTTTTAAATGTGATAAAAGTTGCTAAATGTAGTAAAACTGAGCTAAATATTAAAAAATGTCTGCTCAAAAATTTGCACCATTACCTTATGAGCTAAATATCAAAACAATGTCTGCTAAATAATTTACACCAGTGATTTACACTTGGCGCCCGATAGATATGACAATGTATTTTTCTACTTAACAGTTTAAAGAATCATTTAAGTTATCTATTGCTTGTATTTTTATTGCTTCAATATGGAAATAAATGAAGCAGATCAGATCAGAAATAAAGTAGGACCGGCAGTCCATTTGGTAAAAATGTTTTAGTCCCTGTATCTAAATTCAGCTGAACACCCCCCCCCCCCCCCCCCCATTAAAATAGTTATTTAATATTTTGGTAATCTGGGTAAAAAGATCCAATTTATTGCTACCATAGCATATATGTTATTATGTTTACATGATTGTTAACCTCAGTTTTCATAAGCCTTAATGCGTCAGATGAATTAATATTGCAAAAAAAGTACAAAAGTTAATCAAAGTGTATTTGTTAGGGAACGGGGGACCTCCTCTCAGTGGAGAGCCAGGCGGCGTACCTCTGAGGCAGCTGACTTTGACGGGATTCAGGGGTCGCCGCTCCAGGCCCGGCTCTCCTGAGTGGACTGAACGCTTCCTTTTGCCTAAACCACAGGAGAACTTGAGCTCGTCTGTGGTGAAGACGTAGCGGATCAGGTAGCGCAGCAGTCGCCGTCCATCTTTCTTCGAGGAATTAACAGCTTCATCCCACTGCTTGTTAGTGATGAAGAGCGGATAGTTCTCCAGCAGCTGTTTACTCCCCTGAAAAGGAAACAAAGGTGTGAAACTGATAATCATAGCAAATTCTCCTTTTGCTGCTGCAACAATAATGAATCATTGATTTATTTTTAAATCACGGTCAGAGACTTCCCATTTCTGTAAGTTGAAAAAATTCCTTCACAAACCTCAAAGACTGTTTGCCGTTCTTCCTCCTGTAGAGAGATGTTTAAATCCATATTTTTACTCCATTCAATGGATCTCGTGGTTTTTAGAAAGGTTTTACTTTAGCTCAGGGCTATTTCTGACCTCTGTGAGTTGCTCCTCTGGCATCGGTTGGACCAGCTGGTTGTGAAACTCAAGCACAGTCTTGAAGTAGTCAAGAACATTTTGGCAGGGAACTGTGTAAAAACATGAGCTGATGTGACCGGTAATTATACAAATACATTGTGAGAAATCAACTGAAATAAAAGCATGGAAACCTAATTGAATGTGACCATAAAGTTCCTCTGTGAATAAAAACACCCCGACTCTTCTTACTGCACCTGGAATGTTGTCCAGTTTGTTGCGGAGCTCCTCATTCTCCTGCTGCAGAGACAGCACCTCCTGCTCGAGCTCCAGGCAGCGTGGACAGCAGCTCTCCTCCTCCTCCTCCTCTTCCTCGGGCAGTGTGGATGACGGGTGGCCGTATGACTCTGAGGGAGCTGGGGAGCCCCAGCCTCCCAGATTGTGTCTGACAGGAGAACCCCCTGAACCGGGCTCGGCTGCTGGACACCGGTCAATTTCGAGGCCTCCAGCCAGATGTTGCTGAGGCCCTGAGAGAAGATAATTCTGCAGGGAGTCTGTGAAGATACGGAGAACTGCAGAGGTCTGTTGTTGGTTTAGATGGCTTTGTTGGACCTCCTCTTCATGGTCTGTCATGGAAGAGCTCTCCTCAGATTTAAGTTTTCCGTGTGAGAAGTTGTGAAGCTCCTGAGCTTTCCTTCGCCCATCTTCCAGCTTGACGTTAGAGTTGAGGGAGGAGGAAGGTGGCTCCAGGAGGCGACCGTTGTTGAGAAGGTTGAGGACTCTGCTGCACTGCTGGGCAAAGGCGTCAAGGATAAGACGGTTCTCTGTGGCAAACAGAGGAAAGATCTGAAGATGTCACTCATTGCCAAAGAGACCTTCTTGATATCTCCAGCCATATATGATTAAATACTCAACCTGGTTTTAATTTAAAGGCTGTTAGGGGGTTGATTTCTGCATCAAAAGTTTGAGTTTTGTTAGTTTTTGATGTAAATGGCTGACAAAAACCCTAAAAATGAAATGAAACCACTAAAGCAGCAGAATAAATCTAAGCCACAGCAGTGTTATCTTTATTGCCTGCAGTTTTAATCCTAATATCTGGCCAAGGTGGTGGAACAGGCATGTTAATTTCCAACAAATGGATATACAGTCAGTTGCTACCCATCACTAAATACAACTCTTTTGAATACCATCCCATCCAGGTAACTTTTTGGTTGTCATATATCTCCAACAGGGTCAACTCGCAGACTTTCTTGATGAACTCGACACCCTGCTCTCCTCCATTCCTGAGCATGACCGTCCCACAATGGTCCTTAGAGACATGAATATTCGCCTGGAAAATCCCAGCTCATCAGGCTTCCTGTCACTAATGTCATCATTTGATCTAAAACTAGTACAAAGTCCTCCAACTCACAAAGCTGGAAAAGCACTTGACCTCATTTTCACCAGAAACTGTGTCATAGACACAATCTCTGTCACACCGCTGCATCTTTCCGATCATTACTTCATCCGTTTCAGCACGACTCTACAAGGGAGGTCCACTGCTTCCGACTAAGCTGCTCCAAGCTATTGCTCCTACAGTAGCCGCAGCAGTCACACATGTGATCAACGTTTCACTGACATCCGGTACATTTCCCACCTCTCTCAAGCATGCTCAGGTTAAACCACTGCTAAAAAAACCATCTCTTCCTCCAAATCATGTGGAGAACTACCGACCTATCTCTCTCCTCCCTTTTCTGTCCAAAATCATTGAAAGGGTGGCTTTCAAGCAGATCACAGAATACCTCTCTCAAAACTGTCTGCTTGACCCTTACCAATCTGGGTTCAAAAAGGGCCACTCCACTGAAACTGCTCTGTTAGCAGTGACGGAATCCTTGAAAGAAGCTATTTCGACCAAATCCTCAGTGCTTATCCTGCTTGACTTATCGGCTGCATTTGACACTGTCAACCATGGCTTCCTTTTTTCCACACTCTCTAGCATGGGCATCACAGAGAAAGCACATGCCTGGTTTGAATCGTACCTTACAGGATGATCATTCAGTGTATCTTGGCTTGGACAATCCTCTACCGTGCACCATCTTGCCATAGGAGTCCCACAGGGCTCTGTACTAGGACCTCTTCTCTTTGCCATATACACCACCTCACTGGGTGAGATCATTCAATCACATGGCTTCTCCTACCACTGCTATGCAGATGACACCCAGCACTATCTGTCATTTCCACCGGACGACCACACTGTCTCTGCACGAATATCAAACTGTCTCTCTGACATATCAAAATGGATGAAATCCCACCACCTCCAACTCAACCTCTCTAAAACTGAACTACTTGTCATCCCAGCAAAACCATCCACACAGCACAATATCTCAATCCAAAATGACTCTCTAGCTCCTTCAAAGGCAGTTTGAAATCGGGGTGTTGTGATTGATGAACACCTGACCTTTAAAGATCTTGTTGCCTTTGTTGCTCTTTCATGCCGCTTTGCACTGTATAACATACGAAAGACTGTATAACATACGAAAGATCAGACCATACCTAACACAACATGCCACCCAGCTCCTGGTGCAATCTACTGTCATCTCCCTCCTCGATTACTGCAATGCCCTTCTAACTGGTCTTCCAGGCTGTACTGTGAGACCTCTTCAAATGGTCCAGAATGCAGCGGCACGTCTGGTCTTCAATCAGCCAAAAAGAGTGCACGTCACCCCTCTGTTCATTGAGCTCCACTGGCTATCGCTAGCAGCACGCATCAAATTCTAATTGCTAACACTAGCATACAAAGTCCGAGATGGTACGGCTCCCATCTACCTGAATCCTCTTGCAAAGGCTTACATCTCGGCCCGGCCGCTCCGGTCATCACAGGATTGTCGGATAGCAGTGCCTACACCACGCTCAGGACACTCCAGACTCTTCTCATGCATCGTTCCACAAATGTGGAATGACCTTCCAAGCACTACCAGAACAGGGCTTCCTTTTCAATTTTCAAGAAACTCCGGAAGACCCTGCTCTTCAGAGAGCATCTTCTGAACTAGCACCTTGCCTGCACCCGTCCCCCTCTCAACCGTCCACTCCTTGTTCCCTCCTCTCCATGAATGATGTCAAGTTGTTGTTGTTATTGTTGTTGTTAGCCTCAAGGGCAACATGCCGATTATCACTTGTAAATTGCTTTGGACAAAAGCGTCTGCTAAATAAATAAACATAAACATAATATCATTTTAAAACGAGAAAGAAAAACACCTGGTTTGTATCCAGGTGAAGCTGTGAATGTGAAAATTGTAAAATTATTTCTATTTAACAGCTTGTGCAAATTTTGTTTGGAGCAGACGCCTTGCTCCTTATTGAGCTGACTTTGAAAATAAAAAGCATTTAGAATAGAAACAGGACAAAATGTTGTCATTTATTTCTAGTTTATTTCTCTCTCATGCAGGCTCAAACAGCTTTAAAAGGTAAACCTTTCCCCTTCTTGGTGAGTTTCATTTTTCTTTTAGGCATTTTTCATGGGCGTTTTTTTTTTTTTTTTTGGAGAATTTGGGATGTGTTTATTTCAAATGCAAGCTGAACTAATGTTTCAGTCCTAATGCTAGCACACAGGTAGTAAAATGTGCATGCATATTAATGGATGCAAATGTATTCGATCCACCGATTTCCCCTTTTTCTATTCATTTTCTCTTTCCCTTTGCTTACATTTTTTTATTCCCAATTATTTATCTTTTTTTTTCCTCATAACCATATGTTTAAATCATTTTTAAAAATCTTTTTTATATTAAACTTTTGTTCTTTTGACGCACTTTGTGATTTTAATTTTGAGAGGCGCTACCTAAAGGATCGTTAATGGCCTTTTTGGTTTAGAGGAAGATGTTTCACTTATTAAAGCTTCCAAATCACTCCTCTGGCGTTTGGGTCCAAAGCCTCTTGCATTCCAAACTGGGAATGGATGCGGTTCAGTTTCCATGCAGCTTCCGCATGGATCAAAAATCATTTAGTCCAATCAAAACATTTCACACCAGCTACAGTGCAGCGCGGATCTGGATGCACAGTTCCGGGTCTACTCCGAAACAATGAGGCACAGTTGGTTTATTCCAAAATAAAATCTTTTTATTTATTTTTTCTGTTTTGTTAATTACAGCAATATCAGTTCACAGAATGCTACTTCACTTCATTTTTACAGGTAAATTTTTAAACTTATTAGGTCACATTTCTAATCATCAGGTGCTCTTGTGGGAGCAGGTATCTGGAGATGTCCAGCATAAAAACCGCAGTCAGTGTGAATGTCTTTCTGTCCGGAAGCTGCACGGAAACTGGACGGCTGCCGTACTGCATTCAGTGTTTTAGCTGTCCCGGTTCACCTGAGTGATGTTATATTTCCCTGAAGTTGCGAATTAGATTAAAACCATTTGGGGAAGAAATTGTGAGCTGTACTTTCGTGGTTGGACAGAAGCATCCTCAGACCTCCTTATCGGTTTCACGTTGGGTTTTTCTCATTTAACAAAGACTTATTATTTTACTTCCCTTTCAAATCTTCTCTGTCCCAAATATGAGCATTTCTGTCCTTAAGTGTTCCTTATCCTTCAGATGGACCTCAGTCTTGACCTGAAGAGGTGACCACATCATAGGCGCAAACACAAAAAGTTGTTCAAACTGTCAGTTTGATAGATACCGTGCTAAAATTTGATGTGCGAGTAGCTGAACGTCCTTATCTAAGGGCCGATATATTGTGCCATTAAGATCTCACAAAACTACATGAAAATGACCTAATTAACTATAATAAGATGGTTTAAAACTCTGACAACGAGGGTGAAACATCTTCAGTTTTCTTTCCGTGATGGCTGCATTTCTCTATCTTTAAACATAAACACATAAACCCAGTGCTTTTATCAGGATTAATATTCATTTACATTATTGTTTTAACTGCTGTTAGATAATCTCAGCAGTGTTGGAAAGTTCACTTAATATACGAACTAGTTTGTGTCAAAGTTCATAATTCTATTTCTAAGTTTACAGCTCCCAAAAATGAACGAGTTCATAATTCTTTATTTTTTTCTGCCATTGCCACCCGTTCAGTCCACTCTCGTGCCCAGCTGCAGCTTTTACCCTACAGTAAATTCTCAATAACATGAAGGAAAACTAGCCATTTGAATGGCTTTTAGAAAATAAATTATTAAACAATCTGAGGAAAGAACCAGGCTGATGTAGGAAACGATGGTGTTTCTCAAAATGCAAAATTCAAAGTGCAAAACATCTAGACATTAATTATTTTTTAATTAAGTCACTTTTCTAATTTTGTGAATGAAATTATTGACTCTTTTGTCCAAAAAAGAAGAAAAGTTATAAAACTTGGGTCATAAAGTCACGAACCCAAATGAATTAATTAAAAACTGAGTAAATACATAAAGAAAAATTACAGTTGTGACTTTCTAACTAGTGTTTCCAGATTTGATGTTTCCCCCGAATTAATGGTGCATTCCATTTCAACTCGACAATTGGAAATTCCAACTTCCGAGTAGCTCCTCATAACAGCAGCAGTAGCTGTAGTGGAAACGGGTTTATTTTACAAGAACAAGTAAGGGTGCATCTAGAATCAATGTTACATGTAGAGTTGTATTTTCTTCTGAGGTGAAGGGAGCTTAGAAACATCATGGAAACTAAAGAGTGGACACCTGATTGGCCCGTGTTGTCTGCACTTATGGGGTGTACTCCTTATCATGACTTTGGTTTAGAGTTATGGTTTTAGCTCCATGGGAATCTGGAGCTCTCAACTTAAATTAAACTATGAGAGAGCACCGTTCACAAACCTGCTCACAAACACCAGAAGGAGCACGCTCACTTT